TACATTTACAGCATAGTGTGTGACTGCCTTCAGCTTTTTTTTTTTTTTTTTTATTCCCAGTGATTTCAGTGCAGCTTACTTTGCAAGAGTAGCAAGCACATGCATGTTGTGGGAGAGTCTTTGCTGAGGAAAAAATGAAAAGTGATTTTTCTGGAGCTTTGAATCCTGTCTTCTAAAATTCAGGGCATTTGAAAACTTACTTAAAGGCTTTTCTGTTAGCTGCACTTCTTGGTGGTATACCTGAAACAGCTATTGTGGTTTTCTGAGAAAAGTAGGGGGGGTTTCAACCTGCGAGACTTCACAAGCTCACTTCTCTCTGCCGCAAAACATCTCTCCAAATTTCTCGACAGCACGTTCACGTGGGGGGTTAACCCGGGGCTTTACTTCTCTGCGGTGCACGCTTCACCCTAGCGAGAGCAGGGGCAGGTCTGCAGCACCCGCAGGGAGCGTAGAGCAGCCGGTGGTGTCCCAACAGCAGGGTGAGGGCTTCACCCTGGGCATCCAGGGAAAGCTGGTTTGGGAAGGGAATCACTGCCTCCCCAAGTGCCCAGTTCAGCTGTAATTGCAAAAAGACGGAAGGTGGCAGCTAAACTTTTTCAAATAAATGTGCCCTTCAAGCTCACTTGGTGTGAGTCTTTATCTGGTCTTGCTTGCAAAGAAAAGATTTATTTTTCCTCTTAGCTCTGTGCCTCTGTGTTGCCTCTGGCAACCAGGGATAAAGCAGTAAAATGAGACTTGTAATCTAGACAAGGTCTGATACAGACCTCCGCTGCGGCTGCATTTATTAGATTTGTCAGCAAACCCTGTAGGGTTTTTTAATGAAAATTCACCTGTCTGGCTTGATCTGAAGGGGTAATATTCAGACTGAATCCATTTCTGAGCCTGTGACTTTAGCAGAAAAGACAGATAAATAAAATTTCCAGATATTTTTAAGATGGGGAGAAGGGAAATGAAGTGTGGTGGTGGTTGTTTTTTTTTTAAAAAAAGTCTCTCTCTTCCACAGGAAAAGGAAAAATTTGAGAGGATAATTGAAACATCTGCAGTAACTACAGGGAGCTAAGCTTTTTTTTTTTTTTTTGGAAACCTTAGGAATGAGATGATGCAATCTATTTAGCACGTGGAATTACTGATAATACATTCATAAGACCATTATAAATTCTTTACTACAGAGTGAGGATTAATATATGTATTTTTAATAGATAGAACTGTGCTGCCCATAAAGGTGTACAAATGTGTATTTTTTTTGCTGACATAGCTGTAAAGTACAAAAAAAATCTCTGAAAGTAGAAAGCATCAATAGTACTAACTTATAAGCAAAGTAGCTGGAAGATTGTTTTCACAGTGCTCAGGAAGCGTATGTAAGTTGAAACCTAATGTTCTAGTGCAGCTAGAGAAGGAATTAATATTTCTTGAGAGAAACACAAGAAAATAGGCGTGACACCCTCATATATATATATGCGTATATACTTTTTATTATATAGTAGTTTAAAATGACACAGCATTAAAAACCAGCTGTATATTTTCTCTGCAATATATGAGAGGTAATTACCTTGAGCTATAGGTTGAAAAAGAAAGAATTTAAGTACTTAACTAATGAACTGAAAGCATTTGGAGGGATTAAAGTGCAATATCACTCCAAATGTTATCTTATTGTTCAGGCAGAAAAATATTTACAGCATAAATGGGTTTCACTTATTTTTCCCCTCACAATTTTTTCCATTCCAGATTTCTTCCTCCCTCCTTTTTCACTTTGTTTTTTTTTTTTCCTGGGAAGGTCTTTTTTTGTTGTTGTTGGCCAGAGCCTAGTGTGTGTAGTCCTTTACTTCTGCTGAACAAATGTAAAATTTGCATGGAGATCCCAACAACTTCGCATTTCCCTCCAAAGCCTGTATTTTTGCTAGAGAAGCTTTGCAAAATAGTCACCTTCCATTAGTTTGGAAACGTTGGAGGTTTTTTTCATCGTGTGAACGTATTTATCCAACTTGCTAATTGCTGCTGTCGTTGCCCAGGTGTCTCCCAGGCACGTTCTCTTTGCAGCTCGCCCATCCTTTGGCAGCCCCGTTCCTCCCGCGCTCTGCTGCGAGCTCCGGCTCTCTCTCTCAACCCTAGCTCTCGCCTGAACTGAGGAGCGAGCCCTAGACAAAGCCCCCCAGCCATTAAAAATTTCTTATTGACAAGTTGCTTCTACTCCCTGCGGCTTCCTTTCACAGCCCTTTGTCACGTCGGTGATGATGAATAAATCGGAAAATAGGTTTCCGCAGGAAGGCTGGGGGAAGGCCAGAATCCAAAAAAACACAGAAAGTGGACTTTTTTTCAGAATAAACGTATGGGTTTTTGGCTAAAAAAAGTAACCTGTTGTAAGCGGGGTGGGATCCAACCGGTCACGGAGGTGGTGGGAGCCACCGGTCCCTCAGGGGTACGTGTGCTGCTGGAGGTTCTTCCACTCCTGCTGGCCCGGGTGGGCACTGGTGTCATGGAAGGGGTCAGCGAAGACGGAGTCGTACCTTCCTGAACGGACAACCGCCCGCTACACGAGGCCTAGAAGCATCTGCGGTATTGCCAGAGAGCTCTGCATTCTGCCTGCTGGCTTCCACGGCTTTTCAGCCGCGCTCAATGAGTCGTTTGTACACTGCGAGCGGGTTCGGAAGGTCACGTGCAAAAGTGCTTTGGGTTCTCCACGTGGTCACCTGTGTGCAGCATAGCAATTTTAGCGTGTTCCTCTGACAAACAGGGCTGTTCAAGTCGGCTCTGATTCCTGGGCTGAAATTCCTAGGATTGTTTAATAGTATAGTATTGTAATTTGTTTATAGCTTGACTGTACTCATAGCATGGGTAGAATTGCTTTTGTACTCTGCTAGAGCTAGTAGAGGTCAAAGTCTTCTGACTTGGATGGGCGGTTCAAATAATACAGTTTCATCCCAAGTGTTGCTCCTAAAATGCTCTGGTTTTGTTGTGTAACTAATTTAAAAGGAAACTAAATTCTACATTATTTTGGGAATAAGAGCATGCTAAATATTTTTGGGTTCGAATTCTGAAAAAAAAGCCACCTGCTAGCAGGACCAAATTACCTTAATTACAAGCATGACCATTAATTATTTTTCCCTTGTATGCCCCATACAAGATTTAACCGTTATTGCTACTAACAGAGCTTATGGTGAACTGGATGGGCATTCCTCCTTATGTCATGACTGAACTCTGGATACATGTTAGGGGATGCAGGATTTTTTTTTTTTTTTAAAGCAGTGCCTCAAAAGTACTTACATCTGACTCATTTAAGACAAGTAAGCCATTGTAGCAAAGCATGAGTTAATGTTTTAATGTGGATGAAGTAGCCATGAGATGGGACAACAGCCAAGGAAAGGTACCTATTTCCTCTCTGCTGTGTAATACCATGCTTTTTTCACACCACAAGGAAGACAACGTCCATACAGTCTTGTCTTGAGATGAAACTTTTCATCATTTTTTTCATGAAACCTACCTGACAGCTTTCTGAATATAAATTCTCCACTGGGAAAATGCATCCAGAGATGTTTCTTTACTGATAGGATGTGTGATGGTCTCTTCAGTCCCTCAGCCTCACCCTACTTGGAGAAGACTTCTGGAGCCTGTTTGATTAGATACTGTTTAACAAAGAGCTCTTCCTTTTCAGTGACGTCTGATGCTAGCAGGTAGGACTCTCGAGTGTACCAGTATGAGCAGAGAATGTCACAGAGCAACATTTCCTTCTTTTTACTCCCTTCAACAGCACCCCAGCTGAGTATCACTCCTTGTCGTAGGGAGGATGCAGAGGTGTGCTGCTCTCTTTGGGGTGGCTTTTACAACCTGCTTGTGGGTGCCACGAAGGAGCCAGCCCGGTTTATGGTTGCAGGAGGCAGGTCTACCATCCAGAGCAGCAGCACAAGGGCAGGTGGGTGGTATGGCAGCTCATCGGGAGGCCCTGGTGGTGTCCAGGCAGTGATGTGACGGCAGCGTCCATTGGGACTGAAAAAAGCTGCGCCTTGCTCCTCAGCTGATGGAAGGTTGAAAGGTGCGGCTTTGACCCGGTTAGCCATTAAAAAAACAAGCTGGAGGATGAACGTGAGGGAGAGAGAGGTCTCTGAATATTGTGCGCTACCCTGATACCGAATCCTTTCAGGAGGACAGAAGGCTTTATTCTCTGTCAGTACAATCTCTGTGGTAGGACCGAACCTCTTAGGATGCAGCAGTAGTGTGTTATGTGGTGATAGCAGCTTCTTTCTCCGGGATTCTCTAGTGCTGTTGGGAGAACAAAAACGTAGTTGGTTTTTTTGCACCACTTTTATGTTTGGGGAAATGGGAACAGAAAGCTTACCAGATATTTAGATGTCCCAAACTGCAGAAAGGCACATAGATATCTTGATCTGTCTGGTCTGTGACAGTTAAGTTTATCTAGAAAGACTAGCTCCTGCTGCTTCTTCTGCGGCTTGGGACTGCATACTGAGATGATCCAACTGCTCAATATAGCACAAGAAATATAGCCTTATAGAAAGATAATAGGTAGGAATAGAGAAGTAAGGATTAGGGAGCTGAACTGGCTTACTGTGCAGTCAGGCAAGCACTGAGCTAGTACAAAGGAAGAAGAGAGTGGGACATTTTGGTAGCGTTTGGCCCTTTGATCACCTCCATCGTATGGCTGAGGTATAGCTTATGTGGCTGCACTCTTACGCTGAGAACCATTTTATTTTCTTGCCTCCCTCCCTGTGACCCAGGACATGTCCTTCCTCCCCACTTCTGGCAGGTGTTTTAACTATCTGCGGTGTCTGTTGTGTTCTCATGTATGGCTGAACAAGACAGGGTTAATGAATGTGCAGCACTCAGTGAGACCAGGTCTGGTGGCAGTGCTGGGAGAAAGTGCTACAATTTGACTAATCTTTAGATAACTGCATGTAAAGTAGATAACGTCTGAAAAAAATTATTCTTCCATGTTTATTTGAAATGTCAGAAAAGGCAAAAATGCATGTCTCTCTCTTCTTTCTTGGCAGAACCAGCTCCTTGCGAAAGGCTTGCTGTTTATAGAGGAGAAGGTTAAGCTGTGTGAAGGCAAGTATAGTAAGAAACCCTTTCTGGAAGGGAGTTCTGCTTTGATGTTTGGTCAGACAAGATGATTTGCATATCTGGAAAGCGTACAGCCCTTTCTGGTACTGCCTTAGGGCATCACAACCTCTCAGGAGCCAGATTGCGCTGCAGCCCTTGTGAGGCTTGAGGGATGGTGGGCTGTTTGAACAGCCACGTAGCTGCTACACTCCCACCAGCCGTGGCTTCTTCACGAGAGCAGGAATGTGAGTCTTGTGGCAGTTGAACCTGGGCTCAAAGCAGTTCTGGGCTTGACATGGATCCTGTTGCAAAACTGCTGAGAGCTGCCTTCTGCCTTTTATTTCTCAATGTGATTTGCAGCTCAATATGAGCACGATTTTGGTTACTGTGTCATGCTTTTGAGAGCTGAACTAACAGGCTTTGTGTAAATTTAAAGAAAAAACAGTCACTTGGGTGGGAATGAAATCCGTCAGGAAACAATTTGATCACACATGAAGTTCTGTTCAAACCACTGGGGTACAGACGCTTGCTACCGCAGAGCCCGTGGACGAAGGCCAGCGTGGAGCAGTGACTCTCAGTGTCGGGTGTGGGGGGAGTTACTCACATTTATTAACTGTTTGCTCAAGCAGAGTGAGCTGTCTAGAGCACGTCTTTTATTCAAAACTAGGCTGCTGTTTGATTTGACCCAGTTTTGTAGCCTGTAGGGCAGATCCCTTGCTAATCACCAGCCTGCTGTATCTGGGTCATTAAATGCCAATAGACGCTTCCAATCTCACGTCATTGTTGGTGCTGGATTCCTCCACACCATTCTTCACCAAGTGACTTCACCTGGCCAGCAGGCTGTAGGACTCAGACCCTGAAGGAGCTGTGTAGTTGCCGGCCTCCTGCTTGGTGTGTGCTGCTTTGGCACTGGCCCGGTAAAGGAGATAAAAAGGCAGACTCATGCATTTTTCCCCAAGGTGGGTACCTGCCCTGCCTCTGCCAGCTCTTCAGAACGAATGCTGCGCAGCATATCATAGGTTTTGGTTTTTGTATTCATATAAAACTATGCCAATACCTGGTTTAGCATTATGAAAATTGAGTTCTAGCTCAATAAGCTGAGAGCTGCCCGGGAGTAGTTTGCAGCTGTTCAAGTATTTTGGGTAGGATGAAGTTTCCCAGGCAGACAGCAAAGCCCTCTTCCTATGCCTTGTTTTTTTGTCCCTAGTTGGAAGTGACACTGGAGCCACGTTGACCGTGCAGGCTGGCATCTCTGCAGGAGATGACTCACGGACACCTTTCTTTCATAATGTGTCGGGTTGTTGCAGGTCTTGTGGTCACAGCAACAAGAACTTCTTGTACATACTTCTCGGTTAGCTCTGTCTTCCTGGAAAATTTCTACTGTCCCAGTACTCGGAGACAGAATAATGTTCTTGCTGGAGGGCATGGCAATGTTCTGCTGTGTCTGTTTTTCAAATCACAGCCTCTTATTTTAATGTGATTTTTCTTTATACAGTCTGTCAATCTTTTTCAATGCCTATAGGTTTTATGATTTCTTGAAGAAACAAACTATTCCCCCTCCCCCTTCAGAAGGAGAAGCGATCTATGACATTTCATTCTGGCTCCACACACCAAAGCACTGCAGTCCTGGGAAAGGAGGCAGAGGAGGGAAAAATTTAAACATTCAATTAGTCTGTTTCCTGTTGTCTTTTTCACTAACAGTTGGCAGTTTCTGGTAATGGGTAGCTGTTATGGGGGTAGGTGTAGGTGCTTGTCTGCCTGCAGTTCCAGTTTGGAAGCCGGCAAACTGCCGTACCCGACACGGTGAAGCCTCCCTCTGAACCCTCCGGCAGTCGTCGGTGGACTCTCTGCTCAAAAAGAAATGTCTGCAGGATCTGGTTCTGCTGGCTCTCTGCTCTCTGGCCGTGTCCTAAGCAGCACAACCCACGGGCAAGCACAGTGAAAGCCCGTGGGGAAGTCTCCAGACGGGGAAAGCACTTCAGTAGACAGTGATAAGGCTCCTTTGAGTTGCAATTTTACATCTGTTCCAGTTCCTCATGTAGGGCCTCTAGTCCCCTGGAGGCTGAGCCTTCAAAGCTGTCTTGAGCAGGCATCTTCCATTACTGCTCCTTGAGCCTTGACTGCTTGCAAGCTCCAGCTGAGGCTCTGTGGAAGGTGTTCTGAAAAATCCTTTTGTCAGAAACTTGTGTTATTAAACCTGGATCTGTATCTGCACCTGAAATTTCCGGGGAATGGATCTAAAATTTGAAAAAACATTGCGAACCTTTGGCCTTTGGGATGGGGAAAAATCTAAAAACTTAGAAGTTTTGGGCCCAAATGCTGAGGAATGCACAGCTCTGTAAGTCAAGCCTGTGAGCATAATTTAAAATGTCTATTCAAACGATTATGTTCAGTAAAGCATTTTTTGTTAATAATAGGCTTTTGACCACAGTTGTATTCCTGTTATGGGAATCACGAGTTGCGTAACTTGGTCCACCTTCATTTTAAATACCCGCTTACGTTTGGGGGTGTTTGTTGGCGTCGGAGCCATGTGAAGGGTGGCCACAAGCGGATTTCATTGGGAAACCTTCGCAAGCACCACGCTTGAGAGGAGCGCAGCGGCTTTGTGGCTTGTCAGGGTCCTGACTGCTGTGTCTGTGCTTGGGAGTGGGGGGGTGCCGGAGGGGGCTCAGCTCTTCTAAATGGTCTCCCTGCCTCAGTTGCTGTAGAACAGTTGATGTTGGCCGTGACCTGCTGGTTTTCTGATTCCACTGCTAACGTGCGGCCGTGCTCCCGCGCTGGTTGAGCACGCGAACTGTGAGCTGTGACGCTACACAATCCTTTGCCGCGGAGTTAAAAGCCTCCGGTTGAAGAGGGGCTTCTTGTTGGAATTGGTCCCGTGTTTTGCACAGAGCTGTCTTCTTTGCAGTATGTGACAGAGCGATTTATGGTCACAGCCCTGTGTCTCTGTCAGTTAAGGTGAAGCTTAGAATCATAGAATCATTTAGGTTGGAAAAGACCTTCAAGATCATCGAGTCCAGCCATTAACCATGCCCACTAAACCATGTCGTGAAGTACCCTGTTGACTCGCTTTCTCAGCTGAATGATGTCCTGTTTGGGGTGGAAACTGTGTATGTGAAGGGTGGGTTTGTATCTCTTATTTGGGGACTTAGAGAGTAGCGGGAAAATTCAACTTGATTTTAGCATCCCTGTCGCTAAAGCTCTTGCTCCCAATGTCTGTTTTCGTAGGTGAGGATCGCATTGATGTCCTGTCTGAAATCTGGGATCACTATTTTACGGAGACTCTTCCTACACTCCAGGCAATATTCTACCCAGTCCAGGTGATCTTAATTATAATTCAGTCTTCAGTCAGGTGAGGCAATGTCACTGCAATGTCTCCTAACGGCACATGGAAACTTCTCTTCTGTTCCAGCAGCACTGTTTGGCCAGTGGCTAAACAGGTCTCAAAACCTTTAAACTAAATCTGGGAGGAGGTAGAGTTTGCCCAAGTCAGCATTAACTGTGTAAGAAGGACTGCTAAAGTCTACTGGGCAGGCACAGTGTTTTGGGCTGAGTTTATTCCCATTTGTCTACCCTCTGTGCTTAGCTAAGCTTGAATGCTGAAACTACTGGACTATACCTTGTCTAGGCAAGCTCTGGGCCATTTTTATTTACAGTTCTTCCATTTTTAAACTGTTGGGACTGTTGGTGCAGATGACAACACCAACAACTTGTCTTCAGAGGGACAAATCTGAGGACTAGATCAGGAGAAAATCTGTTTAACTAGTCCTAACTACTTTTGGAGGGCTTATGTCCCAGTTGTGCCTTTGGAAAATCCTCTGTTGGGTTTTTTGAAGCTTTAATAAGGGGACAAGTAAATTTATGGGTAGAGGATGAATGAACAACTTTATGTAAGACCTGTTGACGCTGAGTGTTTTAGAAGCTGAGTATCCCATCAGAAGTGTTGAACTGTATCATTTTTTAAGGTAGTTTTAGTCAGGCTTTCCATATGAGCAGTCTAATTACCTCCCCAGCCTATTTTGATCTTCTCTTCCATCAGAGAAAAAAAAATAAATGTACCTCATGAGGAGACTGACGTTCTTGGAAATGCTAGCCTCCTCCTCTTGACTTTTGCCTCTTCCACAGGACTTGCTTTCCAGAGCCTTTTAAATTTTTTTTCCTTTGTATTGTTTCAAAGGCAGCAGGTAAAGCTCAAAGGTTGCACTTTTCCTCTAATCCTGTTAAAGTTGGCCTTTCCTAAAAGAGAAAGGACTTCTGAAAAGACAGACACTAACCTTTATACTGTGTTTATTTTTATTCTTTCCTTGCTGCAGATGCTTTAAGGTAGGTGTTTGGCAGGTAAAACTGCGCAATTAATTATAATATCCTCCCTTTCTTTCCTTTTGCAACTAATAGTCAGGAAGCGAACTAGTCTATTTAAGCAGGGGTTTGTCTGCACTGCAGCTGTCTGTGCACTGCGGAAACAGCTGAGCTAACTGTGTGTCATACCCACTGGTCCTAATAATTCTGCCACTTATCAGAAAAGTCTGCTCCCCTGCTTTTAAATGAGAAACTGAACAAAAACTGAACAAAAGTTACGGCACAGTGGGTGCAGCTTTTGGAAGTAACCTGGTGCTAGTGGTAAAAGTGTGACTATGGGATGTCGAGATTCTTTGAAAGCATAACTTTCTTACTGTATTTGTCTTGTCACAATATCTGAGTCACTCAAAAATGTTTCATAGAAGCTGTGACATTAGGGAAGTATTGCCATTTTACAGATGAGGAACTGAAAGGTAACAGACAGCGTATTTAAAGCCTTGCAGTCCCCTAAGTCCTACACAAATGTCTGGATTTAAACCGCCTAAATGCATTCAAGAATTTGACTCTGAGTAAGCTGCTCTAGGCTACAACAGAGAGAGCTGCTGGTTCAGCAAGAAATATGAAATTGCTCTTATCCCAGGCCAGTGCCCTAATAACAAGATTGGGCTCTTCCTACAAATAGGGAACTGTATATACCTATTTATACAGTGTGTCACCACATGTGAAGACAGCTTACATAGCAAGTCTCTTTCACCAAGCCACAGTTCTTCATGTGCTACCCTGGTAGATGGGAAAGTCTATTTGTTGGTGGTTCCCCATACTTTGCTGCAAATGTCAACGTGATTATTTAGTTGGGCTCTTCTGTGATCCCAGCAACTGCCCATTCAGAATGAAAGTAAGTCAGCCAAATGTGTGAGTGTATGTTACCGAAGGTAGTAAGTAGAAATAACTTCCTATCTCAGCTAAGTTTAAACCCGAGGCTTGTAGCTGTTGCAGAAATATGACCTTTAAGCAGCCAAGTTGGTTAAATTGCTGTACAGAGGGAAACCATGTAAACAGGTCACTGGCTTTTGCATAGTTGCAGCTGTTGATGTAACTACTTGGTGCGGAAAAAGAATAGCAAATCTTGTTTTGTTTGGCACAGCAACATGTTTGCATTTTGAAATGGGGTATGAAGTTAATGGGACTAAACTGCATGATATAAATAAAAAGTGTGCAGCTGCTGAAATATAGTTCAGAGATATGTACCAGTCTTTTCTACACCTCCATGTTTCTAAAAACACAGCGATGATTTAAAACAGCAAAGTGCTTTTATTATGGCCAAGCTACCCTCCAGATTATTGGCTTTAATTCATATTTACATATTGATGATGATGTTAATTATGACATTAAACCCATTATGAATTAATGATTAACTGCTGGTAATTCCTTCCAGCTAAATATTTGCCATGTTGAGTGTGTTATGGAGACCATAAAATAGTTCCCAAACAGACTGTGAGGCAGAGATTAACTTGCTGGGAAGAACAAGGGAAACTTCAGGCTGGAAAGTGCTGGGCAGGGCTGGGAGGAAAATTTCTGCTGTTAAGCTGCAGTGGGGCAAGAGAAAGTCGTGCAGACGTTAAGCATAGCAGAGGGAAAGGCAGTAACACCAGAATGCCAAATGGAGTCCAACTGTGTTTAGATATGCTGAGAAATATTACAACATCTTCATCTGTTAAGCCTGCTCACTTGTGTTGTTGATGTAAAAAAGTAACTGGGAGGACACGGAGCGCCTTGTGGTGGAACTCAAAGCTGTTGCTTTTTAAATGGTATTTGGTACAAGCAGTCTCACTAGCTTCACTCTAGCCTAAATTCTAAAATCCCTAATAAACTGAATTGTGGATTTTTGTCGTATCGGCAAGGTCTAAAGTACAAACATTGAACAAAAAGAGGATCTAACACAGACCAGAGGTAGGCTTAGTTAAGGAATACTCTCTACCAACCTCTTTCCCTACCAAACCTTCTCTGGTTTCTCAGCTCCAAGTGACAAAAGCACGAGCTGCATCCATCCTGGGCTTTGGATGCTTGTGACCAAATTGGATGGCAGTTGGGTTTCATGAATACATAGTCTTTTGGTGAAATACAGGCTCGTCTTTGGCTTCATTCCAAACCTAGTGGTGCTTCGGATGAGGTGTTACTCATTTCAGAATTTGTGTGGGAGAGAGACTGAGAGGGAAGCAACCAAAGAGTATCATGAATCCTCAACCTGAGCAGCTGAGGGGTGCTTTGCCACAGCAGCAGTGGGCAGGATAGACCCTTTCTGTCTGTGTGCATACATGTGTTGGTATGACACTCACATGTCCCTTTACCAACTCTTGGATTTCGCCTTCTGTGATTTTTAGGGTCAGGAGTTGACTATCCGTCAGATTGCTCTTCTTGGCTTCAGAGACTTGGTCTTGCTAAAAGTAAAGTTGGAAGAAGTTCTTCCTCTGGTCCAGACAAAGCTCCCAGCTTCCATCGTCCAGATGCTGTTAATTCTGCAGGTGGGGAACCTCTGCTCTTCTTTGTCTGACTCCACTTGGGTATCTCGACCTCACGGAACAAATACGATCCCTGGAAAGGAGAATGGGGAGGGTAGAGGGTGTGATGAAGGGGAGGTAATGTCTGCTTATTTGGGAGTGGTAAATGTAGAAATGAGAGCTGAATTTTGAATGCCCTGAGCTTTCCTGGGAACGGGTAAGGATGTTGCTGTGAAAGGGCCGGGTTCTGCTCTTTGGTGTTTGTATTTTTCTTGGTACCTCTCTTCCCCAGCTAGGAACAGCCTCAGGACTCTTTTTTCACATAAAGTTTCATCTCCCAGCTTCTCTGAATGCCTCTTTGTGCCCTAGTTCTCCTGGTTTCTCAGCTTTGCGAGACAGGGCGAGTCTCCATCACAGCAGACTGTGGAATTTGAACAAGCTGTGGTTGCTGACTGCCCGACACGGCCCCTTGGCTGGCTGGGATGCTGAGCAGTGCCCGTGAGAGGAGGAATACATTTTGGCAGCAGGCAACATGCTATATATCTTCCAAAGGCCTCTCCCAAGAGACCCAGACCTTTTGTGAGGACTAACCTCTTTAGCAAGACCTCAAGAGAGTATTTTCCAAGCATGCCAAATACAGCCAAGTATACCAGCTGTTTTACCTTTTTATATCACCCAGCCTGACAGTCCTGCAAAATACCGTATTACAGGTGGCTGTTGGCGTTCCTCTCACTTTTATTTCTTCTCCAACATACCTTATAATGAGTGCTGGGGAATGAAACTTTCTGAAGTACAATCAAAATTGCCAAGTGGCTAAGCTGGTATTTCTGTATGAGTTCTCGCTGTTCTGATGTTCATGGTGACCCAGACTGTAATAGCAGGAGATACTAAGGTGCTAGCTCAATTTCCCTGAAATATTTTAATAAAAGAATCTTGAGGGCAAAGAGGGTCTCAAAGCGACGCATTTGAGAAAGAAAAGCTTATTGAGGCTTTGCAGGAAGCTAAGTCTGAATGGTTTCTGAAATTACTGTTAAATTGGTTAGTGTTATCTACCATCTTCACAGCTGTAAGCTGAACTACAGAGAGTACTTTTCTTGCAGTCCTGCCTAGGAAAAGAACAGTGCTTTGCCCGAGGTGTGTTAAGGTTTTTCTACAAAGAGGTATTTCCTGGTAGAACTGCCCTGCTGTAATTATATTGCTGTAGTTACACTGTGCAAATCCTCAGTGGGAGCATACTTTGTACCTTCCTATGCCTTGGTCAGATAAAAGACAGCTAGCTGCTCAATATCCATAGGGTTATGGCTATGGCTTGAACAAGGAGGTTGAACTAAATGGGACCCAAACCTCCATTCGGGCTTATCAGCTGTGCTCCTCCAAATGGTCTACCGATATGGTTGGGATATTCCAGTGCAGAGATATTTGACAGACCCCAGGCTTTACTCAAAAACCTTACTCGGAACTATGTAAGGGTAATGCTGACTTTTTATGTTTGAATTTCAGAGTGTTCATGAGCCTACTGGCCCCAGTGAGGGCTACCTACAGCTGGAAGAACTGGTCAAGCAGGTGGTATCACCGTACTTGGGTTTGTGTGAGGATCACAGCTTCTCTGGTAGCACCTGCTTGCTTGGTAAGACACGCGCATTGTACAGAAGCTCTTTTGGGGTACACAGGTCGGTTAATGTGAGGCAGTGCACATCTGTGCTAGACAGGGAGGCAGTGCATGACTCCATGAGAGACAGAAAACAAGGGCTAAAACACTCTCGAGAAGGTCCCGATTAATATGTTTCTGAATGTAGATTTTTGTGTCGGGCTTTTTATTTTCCATCACTGAGTGAACTATGACTGCCCACCACCACTGCACATGCACACACGTGCAAAGTGTCCCCTCTTGCTGGAGATGGGCTGGATTTTAAAACTCCCTGGTCCATGCCTGATGTACTGCGCTCACCCTGGTGAGAGACTGTGCCTGGTCCTTTGCTGCCTACTCTCTGTCCCTGCTGGCTAGCCAGCTTTGGCTGGCTACATTCCCATGCTCACTGCTGCATCAGCCAGCCTTTGCAAACAGCAAAACTGTTGGATGCTCATTCTGAGGGATTACAGGGGTTTTTGCATGGAGTCTTCCTTCCATTCGAAGACTCTGTTCAAAAAAAAAATTAAAAAAAAATCTGTGTTTAAATGAGGATAGATGCGTCTAGGTGAGAGAACTGGCACTTCAGGAGGGGGATGCTTGTAGTGGAAAACTTCTCCACACATGATTCAGGAGCTCTGCTTACACATGTAACCAGCCAGAAGAGATTGGCTAGCTAAGAAATGGGTGTAATGATACTGGTTTGATAGTCAAGAAGATTTAAATAGAACAAGTGAAGAAAGCTCCAGTCTCCCTCTGTTTTTATAAGCTTTACTCTTTGCTCTGATGCAAATTGTAGCAAGCTGGAGACACACAACCTGTCTTGTCCTACACCTTAGCAGCAGAGGCCAAAAGATGATCTTGCGGTAGAAGGACTTACTGGGACTCAGACAATCTGTGCCTGTAACAAACTCATGGCATCACTTCAGGCAAACTATGGCTCACGGTTTTTGTTCTTGTGGTTGTTGGGCAATTAAATATCTTCTTTGCAAGTGAACATGGTGACACAGTTCAGCATTGATTTGCAGACCTGATCCTGAGGCTAAATCTAGACCATATTCCCTGTAAAAGTTGAACTTTGGCAAATTTGATTGTTTTGATGTTTATGGACATCTTCATGCTGCTTGCTGGGATAGTTTGAAAGGTAGCTGCCTGACCTGTACTGAAGTTTCTAGCCATCCTGGATTGCCACCAGCTGAGCAAAGCATTAGTGTCATTAAAAAAAAAAATTAGCACAAACTGGCCTTGTAAAGTTTATGTGCCTTAAATTCGTTGTATTTACTTTGATTTTAGCTGTCATTTGTTTGTGTGTATTTCCAAGGTGGCCTTTTGCCCCTGCTCCACCCTGTGCTGAGTGGGAGGAAAGAAAGAACTTGTGTTTGCATTGCACGACATTGACAGCCAAGCAGCACTTTTCTGCAAATAACCTTGGTATTTTCAAAGTGCTGCTGTCATGGTGGTTTTTTTGTTGTTAGTTGTTTTTTTTTTTTTCTGTAACTGCCACTTCTAATCAACCTTCTTTCTCTTCCTCTCTCCCTCTTTCTGTCACCTTTTTTGCTTTCTCAGAACCAGTTTCTTCTCTCACTGGGCAGCCTGTAATGACGATGAAGCCCAGTAGGTTCCCTGTAGTAGGTTTTTGGAAACGCACTGTTGGGCTTTGGGTACATTTGCATTCTCAATGGATGCTGTGGAGGCCAAACTGCCTTCTGGACTGGAGCCTTCGAGATAAATGAGTGTTGAGAAATGTGACTGAAGGTGTCCGATCACAGCTGTGAATACACATAATGCTTCAGCCTGCAAGGCTGCTGTATGTTAAACTTTAAAGTGAGATTTAAAGTGAGAGGAATGCAGCAGGGATAGGTGTGAAAGGGGCCAGGACAGCTCACAGGGGGGATTTGTAGAGGGCAGCGTTCCTATCTGCTCTTCTCTTACCACCCTTCTTGCTTTGTCCATGTAAATTAGCCGTAACCTACCTTGTAAGGATGGACTATGCTGAAGGGATCCAGTTGTATAAGAAAGAATTTTTAAATGTGGAATAGGGAAGAAGATAAAACATTCAACCTATTCCCCCCACGTATTAAACCTCACATCACTGCTGATTTGAGTTTGCTTGCAAAAAATCCCTTAAAAACTCCCCCCAGTTTATGTTCCTGGCCATAATGCACCAAAATAGAAATCATGTTTCTAGTTAAACTATGTATGACAAATCCCTTAAGAGACCGTCTTTTGTGGCCAAGAAGGTAAAGGGGGAAAAGTAAAGTGATAAATGAATGTTCAGTGTTTAACCTAATTTTTACCTGATTCTCATTATAAAGGATTTTAATTCTGTTGCACAACAATAATCTGTGGATATTTTTCCTCAAAAGAGTCAGGTCCCAATGCCCTCCAACACTACATCTTGCTGTGGCTTGAGCTGCAGATGACACGTAAAGAGTGTATTTACTGTAACTGGCCTCAAAAATTATTTGCACATACTCTTAAGCACAAAATGAATCATTTTGAATGAATATATTACTGGCAGCAGTGGGGTGAAGTGTTGTCATAGCTTGGCTGCTGCCAGTGGTGGAGTTTTGGCTGCTCACCCGTTCCTCCCTGCAACAATATAGAGTTTGTTTTCTGCTTTTCTTTCTGATGCAAGCTTCCAAAACTCTTTTATAACCTTCAGTGACGAGTGCTTTGCTTTGCATTTTGTCACTCTATCTCTTATGCTCTGCAGTCTTGGCGGAAGTATTTTATAAGGTCTAAAGGCTTCTGACTTTATGAAATGAGACCCTGCGCTTCAAGGAAGCTGGTGAGAAACAGGGAGACGGGTAGGGAATAGCTTTATCAGCTGCTTCGGGGACAGATAGCCCACATGAGGTGTTTAATACCACACGGCAATGCTGCACGGCGGTGAAAGACAGCAGGTGAAAATAATACTGTCTGCTTCAACCTCCTGGGGGAGTGAATTACAGCGAGCCAAGGCACAAACTCAGCCCCCTGCTTTTCTTAAAGCTTTCAGTGTCAGAATTGAAACGGTGCTTCATGATAGGGGGCTGGGGACTGCGCCTTGGGTTTGAGTTTTAAACCAGGCATTTTTCCCCCTTAATGTTTTTGCCGGCAGATTGCAGACCCTTCACCCGTGCTCCCCAAGTACTGTCTTCCTCTTCTGCACCTTTCCCCCCGGGCTGTTGCGGGCTGTTGCTGTGCACCGCGAGGTGTTTTCAGTGTCTAGCCCCCAAACCAGATGTGTTTTACAGTGGATGGAATGTTCTTTTTCTTTATAATCTTTAAAAAAAATACAGTGGCTTAATGCTGGCAGAACCGCCTTTCCCTAGGCAGCTGGAGAGGTAGTGCAGTGTAAGCATCAGGAATTTCATGTTGACACCAGCTAAGAGCATCTCCTGAGGGACATTTTCCAGAGGAAGGGATGGCAACTCAGGTCCTCACTGAATGTTTCTTTGGGGACTCGTACCACTTTAGCATCCCTGATTTCAGTGAACCTGCACGCGAGAGTTCCTACTCGGTCCTCACCTCCCTGGGTAAGAGAGGGGACCATCAGGATGCTGAAGAAAGTCCCTCTGCTGCACTCCTTACTTTTTGGCTCACTTCTCTCGCAGGCAGCAGCACTGTTGCCTTACAGCAGGACGGGAGGCATCTCCTAACTGTTCCTCCATGCTCCTAATGGCAGCATGAACTAATGAGCACCTGACTGGTCCCCGGTGCTAACGAGGTGGGACGCTCTGCAGCTGCACGCTGAGGCCAGCCTAGCAGTTCAGGCGATGCTTTTCCTGTGCCTTACTTGACCGTTCCTGCTTCCTTTTTCTCTTCCAGAGAGACGGTACTCCAGATCCCGTCCCAAGACCGGTGGACTGAATTATTCATCTCATGCGGTGACGAGCCGGCAGCCCAGCGAGATGGCCCTGACCCCACTGACAGAGCAGGAGGGTGAGGCTTACCTGGAGAAATGTGGCAGCATCCGTCGGCACACTGTTGCCAACGCTCACTCGGATATTCAGCTCCTGGCGATGGCCTCCATGATGCACACAGGGATGGTGATTGAGGAGTCGGACAGTACTGACAAATGCCTCCTCCTGCAGCCCAGTTTTAGCCACAGGCAGTGCTCCAGTGAGCCCAGTATTGCCGATGGGCCAGAGGGAGTCATGGCGGCGGGTAGGCAGGACCCTGCAGAGCTGAACTGCACGTCGGTCAGCTAGAAGAAGTCTCGCCGAGAGGAGAACTGCGTGCGCTAAGCTGAACAAAGCGTCGTGTCTTCCACGCCGGGGGAAAAAAAGAGAAAAATTCGAGTTTTGCTCGTGTCATTGAAATGGCCTTGAGGGATCTTATGTCACTTTCGGAATGCTCTCTAGATTTGTTTTTCTTGCCTGTCTGTGATCACTGTTGATGGAGGTACCAGGCTGCTCCCAAATGAGCACCGAGGGCTGCAAAGGTTTCGCTGTTGAACAGCGCAGTCTGCCTTCTGTGAGCTTTCTTCCGCTACCAGTCCAAACCCTTTGGCCTCAGGTTTCCTTCTGTTTCTTTGGCGTGATACAAATTAGCCTCTTTCTGCTTTTCTCCATCTTTCCCAGCTTTGCGCTGCTTGTTTGCTCTTTGTTCCTGCAGCAGAGAGCTTTGGGCTAAATGTTCGCTTTGCTTCTGGTGCTAGGGTGGTGATGGCTGAGGACTGCATTTTTCTCTTTTAGTTGAGCTCAGGGATGAAACCATTTGCATCCTGTGGAACGATCTGCTTAGGTGGCTTGTGAGGGAAGGAGATCCTTCACTTTGCCTCCCACGGGCATGAATGAAAAGTCCAAATCTGAACAAATCAGCCCCTTTTTTTCCCCGGACCTGAAGAGAACTGAGCATACGTGGGGAGTCCCAGCTGAGTACTTCATATGTACTTCATTTGGTTCCAGTCATATCTTTGGAGGTGGCGGTGTAAACTGGGTACAAAGGAGGGGTAGGTGTGTAAATTGGGGGTAAAATATAATCCTGAGCATCCCGGCCTTTGGCATCAACTTGCTCTCAAAATTTCGGTGGTCGTAGGGCTACAATGAAAGGAGAAATCTAAATGGATTCCTTGTGGAAGGAGACTCTGGGCAGAGTCTGCACTTGTGTGGGACACATAAAAGTGCTTCTCGGCACTGGGCCATCATGATTCCAGATCAGAAGGTGACAAACAGGATTTCACCCTCGGGCTGCTCTGGTACTTTTAGCACTTGCAGATTTCATGAGGCCAAAGGTAACCAGCGGGTGTAGAAAGGAGTCCTGTCTCGGTTGTGTATTCGTGAAGTGCTCCTGACCTCCAGTGGTATCTGACTCAGTGCAGTGTTGCTTTTAAGATAAAGCGAGGGCTCTTTGCAGTCTTTGTTTTTGGTTTTATTTTGAAGATTAGGAGCGGGTCCAGTTTGCAAGCGCCTGTGTCAGGCACTGCAGTCCGCAGTGTCTGCTTTGTAGCATCACTTGGTACTCAAATGCTGCTTCTATGGGAACAGAACCAATCTGTTCGAGCAGTCCCCTGGGATACTCTGCTGATGTCTTGCTAAGCAGATTTGCAAGTGTAATTACAGGCTTAGAGGTCAACTGAAATGCTGCCTTAAATGTCAAATCCCATTAAAAATATGGATGTAGCACCACTGCCACTCGAGTCTAGTCCCTATGGTACTGACTGTAAATAAATGTGTCTTGACAAGGAAACAGAAGGTTAGGATGGCCCTTCAGGATGTTTTTTTGCACGCTATGACATTAACTGCAGAATTTACCCTGCTTCTGTTGGGCATTAAGCATCTTCTGCTCCACTGGCTGCACCGAAAGTACAGCTCTGGCCTGTCAGGATTTGGCCTTAATAGCCTGTGCAGCAAAAAGAAAGCAGGTTATTATTTGGTAACAAAGCATCAGCAATACCAGTAACGAGCACGAGTCGCACTGCCTTTGCAAACGAGGGTGTTGCTTTGTCTCCTGGGGTTTGCAAATGTTGAAAGAGATACTCGAAAGGGCCTGCTTTTTCTTGCAGTCACCTGAGGCACCCTAGCTGTTGGCCTTTGTGGAAATGCCAAGTGTTTTGATCACCAGCTGTGCTTACATGTTGAAGAACAGAGACTTAGTTGTGCTGGCTGCCTCCTCCTCGGAGCACGCACGGTCCAGTGGAGGCCGGGAAGATGTGGCTTTAAGCAGCCTTCCCTTCAGTTGGATTTTAGGATAAATTGCCCTCCTAGTCATAAATTGGACTGACCAGGCCAACTTATTTGTTGTCCTCTGCCCCAGGGTGGCCATGGGTTGTGGTAGAGCTTCAGAACCTCTGTGGTGGCAGCTAAACCTAGTAGACCATGCTGGTCTCACCTTGGAATGGTCCCTCCAGCGTGGGGCAGGTGATGGCATCCTGCTCAAAAAGAATTTCTTCGGCCCCTTGCAGTGATTTAAAGCCTTCTCTTAGTCACAGTGGTGTATGTGGGGAAGCGATCACCCTGCAGAATTTCAGTTCGCTCTTACGAATGCTTTTCTTCCTTCTATTTCTTCTCTAACACATTTGCCTTCTGTAAATACCCAAACCATTTGAATTAGTGAGCAGCGCCCTCTTTTATGGTGAAAATTAGAATGATTTATTTATTTCCTGATACATTCTTGGATCATCTCTAGGGCTAATAGGAATCCGGTCCTGGTTTTAACTTGAATTTCTTTTGTTTTACATGTATGTATAATTTGAATTATTTTGATTTCGTGTCTGTTACTTTGCAAAAATTTGCACCAAGCCACTCTGAATCATGCACTTCCCCAGTTGTTTTGGTTCTTAGGGAGAATTAAAGCTGGTGGCTTTACTTTTTAAACTGAAGTAAACAAAACTCGTTCTGTAAACCACGCTGAGCGTCTGGGTCGTGAGCGACACTTTTACAGCCACGTGAGATGCACAAGCCCCTGCAAGCCCATACCTTTTACGGGCAGACTGGGGGAAACTGGAAGTGGTCGGAAAGCTGTGCCCTGCCCTCCGAAGGGCCGTGGAGGCAGACGTGGCGGGCAGCGCCGAGGGGCCACTCTCCGCTGAGGGTGAGCTCAGCCTCCACTGGCTCAGTCCCCTGGACGTGAAGAGCAAAGACTCCGTCCGTGGGCCAGAGCCACGGCATGAGAAATGCTTGCATTTTGGATCCAGGGTTCTGGTCTGGGGTCACGCTTCTTCGCTGCTCACCATGTCACACAGCCGTGACGGGGCACGGGGCAGGTCTTTTCTACCCTCACGGTCACCTGCTTGAGAAAACCTCCTGGAAGAGCTGTCAGGATGGGAAAAAGGGATTTCTCTCGCTACCTCCCAAAGTCTGTCTGTTACCTTCTAACTGGATAATTGCCTAGATTGAGTCCCTTCTCATCACACCAAATCTGTCTTCTCTTTTTACTCTGTCTCCTCTTCTTAAGGTAAGTGATTTATTCTCCGTGTTTGTACAATTCCATCACAAACTTACTGAGGGGACCTTAGCAGAAAGCTCTTCGTAGTACAACTGGCCTTTTTCCTGACATCCCCTGTAGGCAAGCAGCATGTTTTTATTGCCAGCGAGCAGAGCTTCTTCAGTCCCCAGCTGGGTGAGCAGCAACCTGGTTTATTTTTTGTTGTTTTTTTTTCTTCTATCTGAAGAAATGCAGTAGATCTTGGTGCTGGCGCTGGTGGCAGCAAGGGGAACGCTGCAGGGTTTGGATTGTCACTAAGGTGGAGTATTGCCCTTTCTTTTTAGGTCCAAATGGCAATGGGTTCCCCTGGAAGGAATGATCTTTTGATGCTTACAACCCTGAGTCGACAGACTGAAAATGCTTGGCTCTTACAGGCAGCCTGGGTGTCCCAGAGAGCAGAAACTGAGTGTCTAATGAGGGACAAATTGTGGTGTTTATGGTGTACACACTTTTGTGAACTGCTTCATTCTGCTGTAGACCCAGAGCAGCCAGTTTCCCTAACTGGATTCCCTGTGCCTTCCCGACCTAGCTCCTTCCCCGTGCCCGCAGCAGGGCTCCTGGGCCAGGCACACACCTCGTAATTGTGTGTGGGAGGTTTCCAGCGAAAAAAAGGGGAGTTGAGCTGTGTAGAAACTCAGCCCAAGTCGATGATACTGACTTGCGCCAAGTTGCCGGAGCCAGAATTGCAAGTTCTGTGCTAAGAGAAAAAGATGCTGCCTGGGCAGAGGGCTGCAGGCAGGGCCCTGCCGTGACACTCCTGCTCATACTCGCACTCTCTGCGGGGCTTTCTCACACTTAGGAAAGGCTGAAGAAGGGTGATTTTTAAGTATTGGTGCTGTACAAGTGAAAGTGAGCTCCTTTCCACAGCTCCGCGAAATCTCCCGTGGGCTGCGGAGGCAGCTGGGAGAGCATCTCCTCCCGTTAACCTGCCCTTTGCGGTAAACCACCACCTCCTGAAAGAAACGTGTGCCTTCTGTTGAGCCACGAATCGGGTGTGGAAACTCCAGAAAGAGGTGGGGAGCCGGGCTGTCTCCCCGGCTGTCCTCTTTCCTGCGTGGGATGGGTCTTCCTGCACAGGGCAGCCTGCCGGCAAAGCTCAGGAAAGCAGGCGAGAAAACAAGGCTGAGCCTGGCACGGATGCCCCACGGTGCCCAGGGAGTTTCCCATGGGGATGCGAGTCAGAAGTTCAGCCCACAGTCGGCTTGTTTCTCACTCGCAAACACTCCAGCTCTGTGGGAAAGTTGCCACAAATTTTCCTCATAATTCAACGTGGGAAGAGCGTGGCTATTATTTGGTATCAACGTGGGAAGAGTGTGGCTAGTACTTGGTATCAACGTGGGAAGAGTGTGGCTAGTACTTGGTATCAGCCTGAGCAAAGAGGAGATAATTAGTCATCCCATTCATTCATCACATATTCCAACGTGGAAGGCAGATCTGGCAGCACTACAACAGCTTAAATGGGATTTTGTTACTTAGCTGCCCATTTGGAGAGCGCTTACTGTCCCCCTTGCTATCCCAACAGCTCCTGGTGAGGGCACCAAGCACTTAACTAAATAAACAAAAGCTTCAAAACAGAAATGCCAGCTTTTAAAGCAGCTTAGCAGCAATGGAACAGCATGTTCTCGTTAATATGGTGCTCAAAATTTCATGTGGTAAAACAGCTGCCACTTTCACCTGTGAATTGGTTGCCCTTCATCCATTACTTGCACCTGGAGATACCTCGAGTACCCCTGTTAGTTATATCCAACCAGTATTCCCACCTGGGAGAGCAAGTGCTGTATAATTGTGCCAGTTTATGTCTCCCCCATGTGTAAGTTCATCCCTTCCAGGAGACGAATCCTGCCCCAAGCGCTTCTACAGGTCGAGTGAGAGCTGCCCTAAGAGAACGTATAGGAGAGGGCAATGAAGAAGAAATACATGCAGGTAAAGGAAATGGCTGACTATCTTTTCCCAGGTAATTGGTATAACAGAAGGTGGGGTAGAGGCTTAATTATAGTTTGGTCACCAGATTTTTCAATGAGCAAAAGGAAAGCAAACTCCTTAAAAAAAACCAAACCCAAACCACAGTGGCTTGAAGGGTTTCACCTACCCTAAATTCCTACCATAGTACAGAGCAGCTTTGCAGTAGCTATAAATTGCAGTGATAGTGAGGGAGTCGCTGTTTGAAGTGTCTGTCATTAGGCTTCAGAGCTAACTCCCGCTTATGCCAAGTGCTCATTTGTAATTCATGTGTCATAATTATTATCGACTGCTCAGTAACAA